CTGAAAAAAAAACAATGGGCATTATCTGGCAAATTAATGAAGTATTTCTATTGATTTAGAAATCGATCTTCGTGCAGCTAGATATAGAACAAACAAAAACTGCTCTGATTTCATATATCAACAGTCATCTGTTCTATAATGAATTATTCACCTCCAATCTTTAGAGTGTATGTGGTTTTGTATAGGCCTAAAGGGGAATGCTTTTATCCACATTCAGAACAAAAAAAAGCAAAACGCGCCAAAAGGCTTTTACCCCGAGGGTGGTGTGGAAACAAAGCTATTCATACTATGTTTCAGGACTTATACGAACTGGTTAATATCAATGTATGACTTCAGTATTTCGGGCAGCTCTCCAACAGTACAGACGTAATCAGCAATGCCAAACTGTGCCTGGGGTAGACCATGCAATTGCAGTGACTGCATACCTAGTTTCTGCTCTTTTTGTCGCAAAGAGGGGGTTCGTCATGTGATCGAAGACTACACCACTGATAGAAAAGGGATAGGCGCCTACATTTTCACAGCATGGTGTGAAGATTGTTTCAAGAAAAAATGATATAGATTGTGATTATCTCATTTGTCAATAAAATATTTGATAGGTATCCACATCTTTTATTGGCCCCATTACACCCATTACTTTACTAAAATATGTAGGCAGTTCAGATCAAAATCAAGACATAAAATAGAAAGTTCCAAAATAGTTGCATCTTTGAGAAAATCTTCACATTATGTATACTTTATAGAACTTTTTTCTATGGACTCTCTATATATTTGCCAAACCCCAGACAACTGATAACATCCAGTATACTAATTTAAAACGAAAAACATTTTCTGAATGACTATATTTTTCAAACCTAGATAACCAAAAGCACCCTGTATATACCATCAACTACATGGACATTTCGAATGAAAAATAAAATCCCAACTTATTTTATTAGCTGAAATCTAGCATAATATGAAAGACCTGATGTGTTACGAAACACCCTGTATTCAAATAAAATTCAATTTCTGTTATTAGCTGAGAATCAGGCAAAATATTAAACTGAAAAATCTCAATGTTGCACGAAACACCCTGTATTTAAATAAAATTCTATTTCAGAGTTATACTTTTTTCGTAAGCTAAATTATACCGAAATATAAAACTGAAAATCCAAAATGTTTTACGAAACACCATGTATTTGAATAAAATCCTAATTCAGATTTTTATACTTTTTCGTTAGCTGAAATCTAGAAAAATATAAAAAATCCTAATATTTTATGACACACCCTGTATTTGAATAGAATCATATTTCAGATTTATACTTGCTTCGTCAGCTGAAATCTAACAAGATATAAAAAAATCCTATAATGCTCTACGGAATACCTTGTATTTGAATAAAATTCTATTTCTGTTATTAGTGGGATTTTAGAAAAGATAAAAAATAAATTCCAAATGTTTCACGAAAACGCCCTGTACATCAAGTTATTATTATACACAGTTTTCAAAATGTTTCGCTTATTATTGTTGATGTAAACTGTTCTCTTGTTGTCCCCAAAATTCAAGGTAAGTATTTTAAAAAGTGTCCAACTCAGTTCAATTTGATAATTTTTCTCAGACATGTACCTAAGCACAATAATTTTTAAGAATCAAATGAAATCGTTGCTAAGAAACAATGGGTTTAAATAACTATAGTTTTTCGTGTCTATTCAAATAATACCGAACTATCCAAGACTGACGCCTTTTTCGGTTGATAAGCAGAAAACTAAGCAACTTACCAATTTCATTGAGAAACAGCTATATCCAGAAATGAACGAGTAGCATCCATCTATACAGTGAGGGTTGCTCCATTATCTAGTTTCCCATACACACAAACACACACAAACGGCACTGATTTTGGCAAAACACAATAAAACATATGTCCAACCCAACTAAAGAATGAAATAATACTCTTATGATAGAAAGAAATATTGTTATTCGAACTTTAATCACACAGGAAATCGCGCCGAGAAACAGGAAATCGTAATCTCGGGCTGTTTCAGTCACCTATAATGAATTATTAAATATTCGAATACTTTTCCTTCTAATCTTCTACGAACTGAAAATGCCAATGTTATACAGGGTGGCTCGAAAAGAAATACCTTTTTTCAGTGGGGCACCATATGTATAATATTCCTAAGTGTTGATTATCCCTGGCAATATTAACATGTCAACATGACATAGAGGTCTTGATCATTCAGTGGCACTATATTATTATATATTGCTGTACGAGTTAAAACATACCATAGGAAGAATAAATAAATTTGCTATACCGAATGTCTGAAATGGAACATAACCTCAAAGAGCTTTGTCTAGTATTGATGTATGATAGCGTTTTTTTTTGGTCATCTGTCAAATGTAATACGTCAGCTGTCTAATCCCGCAAAAGTGGGTGAGGCGTCCAGTATATTTTTTCTTTGATTGCTATCCAACTCAAACGCCCTGTATATATCATGTTATAGCGGGTAGCCTTTATATGTAGGTCGGAGAGGTATAACGCCTTTTGGGTTCACCCTATATTTTTTTCCCAACTATTACCCAACTCAAGTACCCTGTATATAGCCGTTGACGCCCTGTATATATCATGTTATAGCGGGTAGCCTTTTATATGTAGGTCGGAGAGGTATAACGCCTTTTTTGGGTTCACCCTATATTTTTTTTTTCCCAACTATTACCCAACTCAAACACCCTGTATATAACCGTTGTTGAAAAATGGAATAAAATGCGCGCCGTTATCTCTAGAACGGATCTATCGCAGTCCAACCGATGATGACGACCCGTTCGCTGGGCCGCGAGTAGCTAGCCGAGTCAGGCCGGCCTGTGATTGGTCGGCCGAGTCACGTGGTTTGGAGAAAAGTGGAGGGGAGGGGCTGGACTGGAGTAACGCGACCACTACTCAATAATTTTATAACAAATAATTTGTTTCTCTCAAGAACAATTTCTTATTCTCTAAGCAATTTAACTGTGGAGAGAATTTGTTACCAGTTAATAAATGGTAATTCGAGGGTAAGATTCCAGAAAGTTTGTATATAACGAACAGGTTTGTGACAAACTCATGGAAGTTACTCCTGAAAACATATAATAATATTGAAATAATCAGCTCCTAACGAATCCTTTGTTTTCTGTCAACGATTCATTTACAAATTACATGGTAGTATTTAATAAGGTATATTGATGACAAGAAGATGGCGTTAATATTCAACGAAGCATACTCAAACAAATCAATTTATTTATCATAACAAAACCTTTCCCTCAGTGTAGTGGATGCTCGATACACCTGATGGATTTGTGGTCTGATTTTGGCTCTTTCTATTCAGATGGTTTGATATCATAATATATGTGATGTAAGTATACTGTCAACTTCTGCTTATTCAAACCGTTCTAAAAACCGTCTTGAAAATTTAATTTTGATAATAATTACTAATGTGTATCTTCGAAGCCTTGCTATATTCTTTTATGTTTCAGCCAAACATATTACAAATTGACTCATCCAGAAGAGTTGTGAAGATTATTTTCAACCCACTGACAATGAGTCTCCATCATTGTGAACGATTAATTGACATTATTTTCAATTTATCATTAGAAACGAAAAAGTATAAAGTATCCTCAATAACTGTTTGAACTCATAAATTTTCATTTTGGGTTGAATAGTTTGAGTAGTGAAAAAGATTCATGAAATAATCGATAATCGACTCGAAATTTCAACTATCAATAACCAAACAATATATCATATGTTTACAAAGCAATAATCATCAATAACAAAATGACTCTTTATCCTATAAGTTATGTATATTTATTGAAACAATGTCTTCTTTCTGTACAACATTGGAAAATTGCATTAGGAAAACGTTAAGTGAATTAGAAGTAACGTTACATCATTATAAACAAATCTATTTCAATGCAAAATGCGGTATAGTGTCCACGAAAAGTGATATTTGTCAATATTTAATTTATGTTTCATAAGATCGTGATTATTATAACTCAATATTGAACTCTATATTCGTTTGTAAATTTTCAAAATACCATTAGTATGTGATGAGATTATATTATTTAGATCTCATCTTTCATATATGCATGATGACGATAATTCTCATTTCAAACAATCATTATTGTTTGTAGTATTGAATTCGATTTGATATTCAGTGATTATTCATGCCCACTATGAAAAATGCATTTCACTAGTAAAGAAGATCGCATATCCTGGGACTGTTTGCCATATTGTAAGGTTATATATAATGAATGATGAATGAATTATACAATCAATTCGTGAACATTTTGAAACAGTGAATTCCTGGTTTATGATATTTTCACGTGAGAACTACCGATGAGGGAATCGCTACCTGCTTAGGTATGTTGTATGGCCTTCAATAATGCCTGTGGTATAGCATCTAATGTATTCTTCCATTCATATTCTTATAATCAGATTCTCCTTATGAATGAATATACAATTGACTTCCTCATCTGACTCGATTCTCATTCGAAATGTCATTACCAACGTGTGCAGAACTTATTGCCAACAAAATTTCAACAAGAACACGTAGCTATTAATGGAATAAGGAAAGCGATTATATTTTATGAAACATATTTTGGAGTAATTTATTCATCTCAAATAAAAATGAAGTGTTCAATATGTACAACACCCAGTTGTTGTGATACAGCGTTGTTTCCCTCTGCTGCTTACCTGTTTCACAAACCATTAGCCGACCCACCAGCTTTTCATTTAATGGCTGCAAGACTACAAGATCATCAGAATACTTTTATCAAAGTGGATGGCTTGCCTAACAATAACTGATGATGAAGAAAATGTTGAGTTCGTGAATAGGTTCGTGTCACACTTCCTGCCTTGTTTTTCATTCACGTTCAATCAAACATATAGGAACTTTCCTTCTGTATTTTGAATTCATCTCTCTGGATGAAAATATAGAATTTCAACGCAATGTACACTTTTTATTGTAATAACTTTTGCCTGATCCAGCATCATACTCACATAAATAGTTTATCGAATGTGGATATTGAAATATGACTATCAGTGCATGCTAATACTTCAATTGTGGCAGTTAAATTTTTGTTAGTTATTTCTCCATTGGTTAGAATTTCCGAGTATCTCTTAACTGATTCCACATCACGGGCTTCTTGGCTAGGTAAACAATATCCTCTATGCAGTATTCTATGATCAAAACTCTCCTGATTTCCAACCGATTCCTGGAACAGAGGGTATATCAGAACCGTGATCGAACGAATTTGCGTGTGTATCATAATATTTCATTCTATCTTCCACACTGAGATATAAATGTTTATGGAATAAATCAATTTTGTTTATTCCTCAAATTTTTCTCATAGTTGATGAATTCGTCAGAGGAATAAAATCCTTCATTACTGAGAAATTCTCTTTCGAATACTAATACTACTGAGACTAATTAGCAACATTTTCACCCCTAATTCTGAATTTGCCCCTGGGTAGTTGCTCCTCTTTTAATGTGGTGAATTCTGCTCTGGCCGAATCTAGTGGTCTAAAAATTTCAGTGAGAATGTGTGTCATTGTGGCAACTTATAGATCGCTAGGAATGCTCAGATTTGTCGATTTCTGATTTGGGGAAGAATACTCATCTTTCTTCATCTCTGTAACATGAACCCCCAGAAAACCAGAGACAATTTGTCATATTGAAAAAGTGGAACAGATTCGATCTCGATGTATGTCCAGCTGCAGGAAAACTTGAAACACAAGTCATAGCTCGTTACATCAGAAACACTTCTTGGATTCGCAACTCGCATCTAGGAAATACCTGATGAGAGTATTGTTGAGTCGTGAGTGTTTCTATATTTCTCTGCAAAACACCTCACATACTGATGCAGGCGATGTCGTAGCCAAAGATTCTGGGGGCGACTGTCAATTTTGGTCAATATAAATAGGAGCATGCCCAGATAGCACAAATTCCTTCTGAGGCCCTTCTGAGGCGTTCACAATCATGTCCTCAGGACGTCGAGAGCGAGCCTGAGGACATTCTCAAGACGTCCTCCTGTTACCATTCTCTACATACTAATAACGTCTCAGAACATCCCTATAAAATCTTTTGAGACAACCTCAGGACATCATGGTAACAACTTGAGGCGGTTTTTGATGATGTTTCAAGGAGGTTCAAGATTTATGGAAGAATATTATTCGTATACAGAATGAGTCACTATATAGTGTGTTCTCCTCCGATATTAGCCAAACAGTCAGATATATAAAATGAAAATTCAAGTACAACAGTAATAGGGTTTCATAAGAACAATCACCTAAAGTTGTTTTCATATCTATAGGGTGTTCGAATTCCAAGATATCGGTTGATGATTGTTTTTTTTCAATGGAACACCTTGTATATTATCGCATTTTTGAGTTTTCCCTGAAGAGTTGATTCCATCAATGCATCTTACTTGGTGTCTAGTGGAAATTATTACAGAGATATAGGGTGTTGACAATTGAGATTCTTCAAATGTAGGATTTTTTATGTCGAAACTATTCATTAATGGTCAAAACGGCTCACATGTTCCTGTCATAACTTTTGATTAGCTATCTACTGATATTTATTTGGAACAGATACAATAAGCTGATCAGTATTCTGAATGTTAACCCAGCCTCTATATTTGTTCCGATTGAATGTCAGTAGATAGTAAATCGAAAGTTTATAAGGATATGTGAGCCGTTTTGACCAATATTGAATAGTTTCCACACAAAAAAATCCTAAAATTGAAAAATCTTGTTTTTGAACACCCTATATCTCTGTAATCATTCCCGCTAGACCCCAAGTGTGATAATTTGATGGAATCAGCTCTTCAGGAAAAACCTAAAAATGCAATAGTATACAGGGTGTCCCATTTGGAAAAAAACAATCATCAGTCAATATATCTTGGAATTCGAACACCCTACAGATATATGAAAACAATTTAATGTGAAAGTTCCCCTAAAACCCTATCACTGTTGTTCTTGAATTTTCTCTATTTATCTGATGGTTTGGCTAATATACAATAAGGATAACACACTATTGACTCACCTTGTATTATGCAAATGATGATTTCTTCAAAATGATATGGATCTCATGATATTTGCAAAATTTCCCTCTATTTATAATAGGTTCAAATGAAAATCCAAATGAAAAACTTATTCTGAAAAATTTCAATTTCCTTTTCAAAGAAATGTATTTCAGCTTTCTTGTTGAGCACTACTAGAAGTTTCTGCCTATTGATAGTTATATTTCTCCATGTTGTTTTTGATTTCTGAACTCTGGAAATTCCTGATGCAGAATAATCAACTGGAAGTTGAAGCCTTCATGCAATATTTTATAGATTCTGAAGAAGCAAAACTATCTTGGAATGAAAATATCATCAGGTTTGTGTTTTGCATAACCTTCTGAAACAAACAATGTATTAATATTTCATGTCCAGTACTTACTATCAATGATATGATTTATGTAGTTATAGGTACCAACCATTATTGAATCTACTGAAAGTTCAAGTCTGCATATGTACAATCTTTCATAATTTCCAAAGAAGCCAAAATATCTTGGAATAAAATATCTCTGCTCTGATGATATCATCATTTTGTGTTATCAATAACCTCCTGAAACAAATAATGTACCTATTAATATTTCATGTTCCAGTCCCTACTATATCAATAATTTGATTTAGGTACCTACCTTTATTGAATATATACTGAAAGTGCAAACATGCATAGGCAATCTCACATAGATTTCGAAGAAGCCAAAATATCTTAGAATGAAACATCTCTGCTCTGATGACATCATCAATCTTGTGTTCTCAATAACTTCATCTGAAACAAATAATTAACCTATTAACATTTCATGTCCACACTATATCAATGATTTGATTCAGGTACCTACCTTTATTGAATTCATACTGAAAGTTCAAGCTTCCATACAATATTTTATAGATTCCAAAGAAGCAAAGCTATCTTGGAATAAAACATGTTTGCTATGATGATATCATCAAGTTTGTGTTCTCAATAACCTCCTGAAACAATAAATAATGTATATGAATGTATCAATATTTCATGTCCGTTACTATCAATTATTCTATTTAGTATTTACTCACCATTTTTTCTTGCTACCTGAGAGAAATGTCATCAACAGAGATAATCATCCTTTTGTTATTGTTATCTTTTAATTCTGTGCAATAAGTTCTTCTCGCAATCATTTTGTGAAATAGAAATTTGATGAAGGTATTCAATGAATACTCTAATGATTTTGATATAATCATTAATATATTATGATGTATCTTGAACAAATCATGACTATCATGAGACATAACCTCAATTCTAGTTCTTCTCTTTCTTCCTTTTGTCCTCGATGACACGTTATTTCATGGAATGTCATCTGAAGACGTCCGTAGGCACGAAATTCTTTACATCCTCAGGCTGTCACTGAAAGAACTCATTTAGGACAATTACAGCGCTAAATTTACGCCTGATGATGTTCTTAGGTTGTAGAAAATAAAACGTCCTCTCCAGGCGTTAGGCGACACATTGAGGATGACCTTAGGCGAGTGTGTGCTATCTGGGTGTCTCTAGGAAAAAATTTGGTATTGCGAATACAGGAAAAATTAAGGAATGATGTTCATGAATGAAGTGGCGATGTTCTCGACTGTGACTATGACTGTGTTTATTCATCAGATTCTTCTTCCTATTGCCGGACATCGGCACTGCAAAAATATACCACAATGTATCGAAATCACTTTACACCGTGGGTATGTAATGATTTACTCATGAAATGGAACATTCAAAGATGAAAGCCGTAAGTAAATCGTTCGATAATATGGGATATCATAAAGTTTCTCAAATTTTGAGAGTTGAAATCATTCAATTCAAGAGGTCGTCTGCAATATCAATCTTACTTGTATAATCTTCCAGATTTCATTACCAGTATTTTTAGGCTGGAGGTGTGCGTTTACTTTGCAAAATGTATTCTTAGTTTCCAAACATTTTTTGTAATCATCCATTCGATACAGTTTTGGTAACATTATGATGATCCACACAATCTGAAAAAAAAAAAAATAGATGAATTCTCTGAAATAATCATCAGAAGAAGATATCAATGCTCATTTTTTGCTTTTCATACATTGACATGGAACCATTGTTCATTGGAATAATCACATATAGAAAATTCAGTCATATGATTTGGAAACGAGCACAAAATTTTCTATTAATGCATCAGTATAAAATCGTCGTGAACAAGATACATGGAGATGAATTGGATATCAGAGAAGCACAATAATCAGACTGCAATACCTTATAAAGACAGAATAAATCATAAGAAGTTGAAAACGTCGTTGGGTTGACCATCAATAAGGTAAGTGAGTCAAGTAAAAAGGTAAAAAAGTTGTATGCGGAAACACCAAATACATTCAGTCTCACTTATTTCTTTAAACCTACTTATCAATTTTTTCAAGGCCGGCCCTGAAATATTACATTTTTCATTATGTCAATCGTCACCACTATGGACAAAGAAGATATATCTCAATGAAATGTTTAGGGTGGTTCACATGATTATTTCAACTGATCAATCGAAATATGAGATGGAATATGGATTATTCCTAGTACCTCCCAATGAATCACCCTGTATAGACATATTATAGTTGTCACCAAAAGAATAATTCTGATCCATCTTCTCAGAGGGGTACTTTTTTTTGCTGTTTTTTCGAGAATCCTTGCTGACCGAACATTTCTGGTTCGAATTTATGCTTCAAACTGCATATTTGAACACCTATATAGATATAATATAGTTGCCACTAGTATAATGATTCATATTCGTCCTCTTAGAGAAAAAGTTCATTTCCTTCACAAGAAACAAGATAAGTGGCAGAGAATAACTCGAAAATAATAAAAATGAGATAGTGTAATAGCGGAATGGCGAACAAACTATTAAAATCTGACCGAGTGTTCCCTTGAAGACCCGTGAATGAAGACTCATTATTCTCACACCCTGTCACGAATACTGAAGTGACCAACATTATTTCGGCTCAAAAAAATAATACTTCAAGGACCACATTAAAGGTATGTTGATATTATGGAAAAGTTTGGAAAATTTTTTGTTGAACCACTAGACTTTCATTACTGGAATAGTCCCCTCTAGATTCAGGGAGTCAACAACACCAATATTCGAGAGCGATGACAAAAAAATCTTTCATTTATAGGCCAATATAAGTCAAAAACTCAGGAATTTCAGAGTTCCTAATGTGATTGATGAATTTCTGTAATTAAAATAATATTTTGTCGGATAACCAGTTCGTGTTCAGGAACAACCTCTCAACTGAAGCAGCTGTATTGCAATAAACAAACTTGGTTGTAAAGAGCTTTCAAACAGAACAGAAATGCTTGACAGTATTTTCAGACTTGAGTTAGTCACAGCTAATTACCAGTCACCAAAGAAGTTCCACAGGGAACCTTATTAGGACTCTTCTTGTCTTCTTGTATATCATTACTATTTCCGGTATTGACCAACTGGAAGGACCTTGACGTCGTACGCCAATGATCCGCTTCATATTTCAGTGTCGATATTTATAAGTGACCGATGTTCGGATGCATGATGTTTTCATTGCTCGAAATATGGCCGAATGAAACAGTATTCAAAACAACCGATAGAGAAAAATCAAAGAACCTGCTTGCATCTTTCTGAACGCATACAATGAGCATTATTGCTTACTGTTGAGTCAATAAAGATGGAACATGGAATCAACCCTCAACCACAGTCAGGAGTCAAACTGACTCCGCATGGAAGTTGTGGTCAAAATCTTTTCTGTTTGCGCAAGCATCAGCACGCAAGCGCTGAAGTACCTACACTCGGATCTAATATCCACCAGTACGCTCAGAAGCTTGTAGCGATCAACATCGTTGTTTTCATAACATTATTTGGTTATAAAGTGTCGCATGCATCTTTGACTCCCGTCTGTTATTACGTGACTTCCCAGGCAACGAAAAGGTATAGAGGAAAATGCTTGAAACACTATTTTCGACTTCGTGACTTTAATTGGGCTAGTTAGGAGGTGAACATATCAAAAGTCCCCGCCCGTAGCCCTTGAGCCAGATGGGAGGAGGGGGTTTGAAGGGCTCATTTTTCAGTTTTTTGCTTCTATTCAGAAAACTATGCGTCCTATCGACATGACCATAACATACAAAATGGAAGCACATCTTTGCAACAAGTTTTGTCCTGTAAAATTTTTTAATATCTTGTATCGTTTTCGAGATATCCACTCTTCTAAGTCTGTAATTCCAAAAAAGGAAATTTCTGCTTCACTCTTTTGCTCCTTCTGACCGGATAACTCTTCAACGATGCACCTAAAAAGTATATGCTGGCCATAGGGTTGTAGAACAATGAATTTTCTTCAATAATACAAATTGTTTCATTCTTTTATCTATTTTCCTCCAAATGTTGAATCAGTTTCAGTGTTTAGCATGACATTTGAAGTTTTGTGACATCTGTCGACTAATAAGGAATTTATCAATTTCTCACCATTTCCAGTAAACGTATTGATCGAGATATGCACCATTATGTGAACATATTCAGTACTGAACGTAGTAGGTACCATTCAGTCTCTTGATGGGAAAAGATCTTGATCCTCGTCTTCGTTCTCCTCTTCTTGTAGAAAAACGGTCAGAGGACCATCCTGTTCTTCCTCATCCTCAGAGTCCACTTGAGGGACCCCATTCAGGCAGTTCCCCTGGCAATTTTGGCATGCCAGAGAACATTTGAGGCTTGCTTTTTTGCACCCACACTTTGCGCTGTCACAGTCTCTCGTGCATGGCAAAAACTCATTTTCAGAATATCGTCCGGTGCAGCTACTAACTCACTGTGCACTGGGACCAAGCAGTTGTCCTGAATCTTCCACGCATGCATTTGAGGAGGCATGTCATTTCCCAGCCACACTTGAACGTAGTGGAATGTTCGGAGGGAATGCTGTTTTGTTGCTCCCTCGCTGGGAAGAAGAGAAGAGATATCAGGCTTGATGATGGCCACCGATTTCTAGAACGAGTTGTACCTTAAGGCATTGAGGGAGACCTCTCTAGCTGGAGCCCCATACCATCTCAAGATGCAGGTTTCACCTGCCTTTTTTACTTGGGCGGTGGTGGAGAAAGGGTCTGAAAAGACCGCTGCTGCTTTCTGGACCTCTCGAGACTTCATATGCAACTTCGCGAATGCGAGCTCGCTATTTCGAATAGCGGAAGATGTTATGTCGTATCCAGTGAATGCGTGCAAAAATAGCACGTCCTTCAAACCTTGTTGCTGAAGCTCTTGGGACGAGAATAAGGAATCCCATGTCTTCCCACGTCCAGGCTTAATAAATATAATTTCATTATGCCTATCAGCTTCAGCCATCAAGATGACTATGAGGTCGACATCTTCACCCACAATGGCGAAAGCTGTTGTTTTCGATATTTTCACAGCCGTATCCACAATCAGAACGTCCGCATCACTTTCTGCTTGATGGGCCCTGATCCTATTGTCTTCAAGCTCCACCTTAAGCATGTTGATGAACCTGCTTTCGTTGGAATTTGATCGACAAAAAGTCTTTTTGTTTGACGTTTATCTCCGTGTCTTTGGCGAAATAGATGTCAGCAGACTTCCTGAGTCTATAGCGCATCTACTGCTCTGCTACTTTTATGTTTGAGGTTGATGAGGAATAGCCACCAAAGACAACAGTACATTTTTTTCCGTGGTAGTTCAACTTGATGAAGTGGATGTAGGTCTCGAAGATTGTCGATATATTGGCACCTCTTTGCCAAATCACTTTATGGAGGAGGAGTCCTCCGTCAAATACGATGTGTAGCTGTGCGACATGTACATCCTTGGTCGTAGTGTTCAATAGTTTGTATAGCACTGACTTGGTCGATTTATTCATCTCACTCTCACTGAATAGGACTAGTAAACTCCTGTTCTGAAAAAGAGGAAGCAATCCTCACCACGAGAGATTGTTGCATAACATCCTATTGCACGATATCTCATTTCGGGCATACTGTCTAATGATATTAATTATTTCTAATTTATATCATTTATTATTGAAAAGAATTCATTACTTCATGAACCTATGGGCAGCATTTACTTTTTCGGTGGATCGTTGAAGAGTTATCCGGTCAAGAAGAGCAGACACGTGAGGACAATTTTTGTTTTTCAAAGTCAGAGGCTTACAAGAGTGGATATCTGGGAAACTATACAAGATATCGGAAAATTTGACTGAACAAAACTTGTTGCAAATTTGATCTGCTTCCATTTTCTATGAAATGGTCATGTCGGTAGGACGCATAGTTTTAGAAATACAAGCAAAAAACGAAAAATGAGCCTTTCAAACCCCCCCACCCATCTGGCTCAAGGGCTACGGGCGGGGACTTTCGATATGTCCTTCTTACTAGTCCGAACAAAGTTACGAAGTCAAAAATTGTGTTCCAAGACTTTCCCTCTATACCTTTTTTTGAGCGTTCGTTGCTTGAACTAATATAGGACCGGTGAGTTTACAAAGGTAATATTATAATATTTCAAATGTTCATGAAGAATTCATTGTATAGGGATTTTATATTTTACAATTTTTCTATAGAAATATGGATTATATTCCGGGACCATCCAGAAAAAGGGTCCGAATAACTGATACAGATTTTAAAGAAACTGTAACAAGGTGGTATGATAAAGTTGGGACTGATCACAACAATGACAGTGATGTCAGTGATTCGGAATACATTTTGAGTGATCATAACAGTGATACTGATGGAGAAGAAAGTGAACATTTGGAGAAAGATGAGCAAGGTAATCAAAATTTAGAAGCGGAAGAAAAAGATAGAGAAAAATTATCCAAAAAAGAATCGTGGGCGGGCCTTCTAGACGTGAATACTTTAGAAGAAACTGTTAAGTATTCTAATCAAAAGCTATCATGAATGAGAGATTCATATAGGGACCCTACAAGACCGGATTCACGTGACTTGGACATGATTGAACTAAATGCGTTTCTAGGGTTGCTTGTATTTACTGCTGCTTTCAGATCGAATCACGAGA